ATGATTATTACGATACCTTTAAAGATGACAGTCCTATTGGTCGTGAGTATTCAAAGTTTACGATAGATAGTAAAGGAATATTGCGACTGCGTGGCTCTCCGGATATTGACCTTATGCATTCTCGTACTCGTAAGCCCCTAGCCTTGTCTATGATAGCCACTAAACACGGTATCAGCACTGTTCGTGAAAAATTAGGTTTTGTAGACTACTCACGACTTTCCGCGAAGACTTCTAAGGCTCTTCGGACTGTGCGTACTGAACTCGTTAACACAGATGATTTGGAAGCTTCCTCGAAGGTGCCCTCGGACGGACTCGAAGAAATCTTGGGTACCTACTACGATAATTCCACGGTCAGTGTATCACCATATTCGGAGTTCAGTATTAGGGAATAACAAGGTCTTGACAAGGCAATGCGAACAATGCAGGGAGAACTCACCATGATATGGCCAAGATATCCGAAATCGACAAGCATATAGTTTACGAGAAAACAAAACTTGAACAGGCGGGCGATGAGTTCAGTAGACGCCGCGTAGTGGAAAGATTGCGTAACTTAGAAGACGAAAGATCGGCCCGCCTCGAAGCAGCTTCCACTAATAGAGAGGCACTTCGTTCGCAAATCAGTCAAATTCGAGAAACTATCGATCGAGTCCTCAACGATGACACTACACTGGCCGATAAAATTAAAACATTGTTCAGAGAACAGGGAATAACAATTGCCAGTATTTTAACCGCGTTTGGATTTATTATATCGACTTTGACTCTCGCGTTAACCGGTGGTACAGGTGGTGGCGGATCACCACCTACGTCGGATGGTATAAAAGAGTGGATAAAAAAGCATTTAAAAGCATTAGGTTCAGCACTGGGAAAGCCGCGGCCGCACTTCCTGGTATAATAGGGAATATTGTTTCCTGGCTCTTGAATTTATTAGCTAAGACCACCACTTGGCTTAGTCAAAACTTGTGGGCACTGATCGTAGCAATTGCAGGGCTGTTGTACGTATCCGCTAAGAACTATTTAACCAAATCATGAGTAAACCAAATCATGAGTAAACCAGCCGCGACTCCACCTACTACAAGCGCTGTTTTTTCATCGATATGTTGTTGATTTTTAGCCGCAATATGTGGTGGCACTTGTGGTTGTGCGTCAGTAGATGTTTGTGAAACATGTGGTGTTTGCAGCTTGACTATTCCCTTTTTGCCTGTGATTGTTTGCGTTATTAATTCGACGTTAATATCTGAATTAATACCTGTTTTTTGTTGATCGGTAGCAATAACAATTTTATTATTATAACCTATCACTTGACCGATCTTAAGTTCGATATTACTCGGAGACATGTATAAACCCGGCGCATAAACGAAGTCCACTTTGGATTGAGCATACTGTAATACATCTTGAAAACGCTTTATAGACGATGGTATGTCAACTGGTGAATTAATGGCGTCCTCTACATTTTGGAGAAACTGTTTTTGCGCATCGAGCGCCGTCACAGAACTGATAATGGACGTTTGTGTTTGCGATTGTGCACCGAGAATTGCCCATACATAAGTTCTTATCGATTCATTAAATCTTACAAATCCTGGGTTAGTAAAATTATTTTCCGTTTTATCATTAAGAAATTCATTCCAAGCGTTTGCGGTATCGTTCATTTGTATAAATTTTGTAACAACAAAGCCAAACCACCCTTAAAACTCATAAGAGAACCTCTCCAATCGTTACTCGAAAGTTCCCAGCCATGATAAAGATTATGCATTCTTACAAAAAGATTGTTTTTCTGTAACAACTTAAATGGATTGAATGGTTGATGAGTTTTTTTAACTAAATCATCACTTTCTTCTTTAACAGTTCTTTGTCCACTGTATGGAACACCTAGACCATGGTTAATTCCTTTAATACACCAATATTTACTCGTAGCAATATTAAATTCCTGACAAATACGTTCGAATGCCCACCTATTGTACGGATTATTTGTGGAATTCCACGCTTGATCTTGCGCTAATGGAGCACTAATTTCTTTAAGTATGCGTCTAATCTGATAGTACACGTGAAATGATATAACAGACTTATTTAGTTCAAATCCTGGGGAATAAAGAGATACGCCACATTCCGTTGTGGCACACCATATGGCAAAGTTTAACTGATTCTGCCAAAATTGCATCGGATTGTGAAACCAATCGTGCACCATTTTATCGCTAGTTGCCGTGACCCTGTACTTTTCAAAGATATCGGGGAATTTAACGATAAATTCAGCACCAGAGGCAGTTACTATAATCGATTGATTAGTAATGCATCTCGATTTCATATTTAAGTTATGATATAGTATCATTGTATATTTAATATATATGTTACACTCCCGGGAATAACAAATGGTCAGTCTATTGAACTGCTGCATACTATCGATAACTTGGATGGTCAGCTCGAAGTAGCTCTATGCGATGTAATGTATTACCCGCAGTGGACCAATGTAGATGCTGCGAAAAGAAATAATAAGATGTTTATAGTAGGTGAAAACAATGGTATTGACAAATCCATTATTATACCTGATGGGTATTACAGCGTATGCTCATTCAATGATGAAATTTTTAAGCCGAAAGGAATTAGTATCACACAAAATGAGTCGAATGGGACAGTGAAAATATACACTGGAGAAACAGATATACTTATTGACGAGAACTTAGCAATTACACTTGGATTTGGGTAGACAGTAAGATTACCACGCAACAAAACAGTGAATGTATATATATTACCCGACTTAGTTCCCTATAAAGAGTTGTGCATCCATCTTGATCAAATAAGCACGACGGATAATATTCAACTAGAAAGTCCTTCAACTCTGCTCAGATCTATTACAGTGAAAAATGAAAAATATAATAGCGGTAGAACGGAATCTTTCTCAACATTACAATATAAAAAATTAAAGCGGGGTATTATTTCAGACCTTAAAATTTCTGTATTAGATGTAAAACACCAACCTGTACATATAGGATACTTAAGTGTAACACTCCATATTATAAATAATGGTTGATTCATCAGGCCCTGGAACGCTCAGACAATGTAATACAATTGCGCTTTCCGATTCCATATTTAAGTTATGATATAGTATCATTGTATATTTAATATGTATGTTACACTCCCGGGAATAACAAATGGTCAGTCTATTCAACTGCTTCGTACTATCGATAACTCGGATGGTCAGCTCGAAGTCACTATCTGTGATGTAACGTATTACCCGCTGTGGACCAATATAAATGGACTATGGTCGAAGCAAACATCGAGTGGCTATTGAATATCGTCATTACCCCACCGTATGTGATGATGGGTGAGGCACATAATTTAACTAAGATAATAAATAGTGGCATCGTACTCGCGGCTTATATCCCATCAAAACGAAAAAGTGTGTTAGTCTCTCCCCTGCCAGAAAACCCAGGTCATATGTTATATAGTTGTCCGGCAATCCAAAATGTTAGTTTAAATTTGGTTACTGAATTCAATGAAATTAAAGTTAACTTGAGTGCAATACCTAATCTTTCTACGCTTATTATTGAAGTCTTGTTCGGAGATGTACCGGTAGATGCCTTCGAAATATTACCAGGTCTATCGATTAAATGGCTCAAGAAACACGAGCGTCAACGTTGCAGTATTATTCATATCAGAGCATCGCCGTTGCAACCCTCGAGGGGGTCCAAATTATTAAAAGTGGTAGTATTTCTCTTACTAAGATATTCTTGCCGTATAATATACATTTGATAAGGTTGATGTATACTCTCAAAACATTTAAGCAAGACCAATTAAAGACTATTATATGATCATAATATACACCAGAGTTTATATCCGGCGCTCGATGAGGCATTTGAAGAGATGGATACTGTTGATGGATTTCGATTACATCAAATAAGCGAAATAAAACATCGAGTAGAGGATAGGGAGTTGAGACTTGGATTGTATAAAAAGTATCGCAGAGCCGTGAATGCTCTGGACGGAGTTGACACCGCGCTTGTAACAGCTGGCATGGGACTCGGCGTAGCTTGTGTCGGTTTACTATCAACTATAATCGCCGCGCCTATCGTGCTCGGCATGGAAATATCCGCTGGAGTCTCGGGACTGGCAGGAATAGCGATAAAATTCATTTCTCGTAGGTTACAAAAGAAAGCATTAAAACACGATAGTATTCGGATACTCGCCGAAGCAAAGTTGAACAGCATTGAGGATCATATTTCGACAGCAATGGTCTATTGTAAGATATCCGAGGATGAGTTTCGTTTAGTGTTGTCAGAACTCACCAAAAACAACGCAATGAAGCAGGATATTCGATCAAAATCTCGTAAGACCAATGGTATTAGCGAAGACGAGAAAAAAAAGTTCATAGAACAGGGGAGGCAACAAGCGCGTCAATTATTCCGTGCCAAAACCAAAGAACTGGTTGGAGATTAAAAATAGATTGCTTACTATCGTTAGATCACATTTAGACAAATGCTTACATAAATATATATAATAATGGAGAATTACAACACAACAATCGAAAAAGCTATTAAATGGAGAGAATTATATCAGTGATGTCAAACCAACCAAATACGGTTATCAATTGTTTCTTATCAATTTACAAGAAGAGTGTAATTATATAGTCTGGTCTCCTAGTAAAATGAACGAAGAACTTAATAAAAATGTTGAATATCGCTTTATTGATAAAAATAATAAAGAATATTTTTATTACCATTTAGGCTCATCTAAAGCAATGATTGGCCCCAGGTATTGGTGAGCTAGACCCAATTTAACTTAATCTAATGACTATCGTTGAATCGCATCAGCGTTTACACATAAAAATTTCCCCTGTAGTAGCAGCATAGGTATATAAATCCAGCTCCAGTGGAGTTGCGGCAGAACCCCCATTACCTATACTACTCAGAATAAAGCATCCTCAATGCCATATTTGACAACTTCCATGATAGAAAAAATACGAGCTAGTACGACCTAATTTTAACACATATAGCTATTTGATATTTTACCTTTCATTACACCAAAAGCAGATGATTTGCGCCTGAACGGTAAGTCCAGCTTGAAGGTTGTACATATCTGTTGTAGAAACTGTAAACAAACATAAACAACATGTAGTAGTATGTAATTATGTACATATCATCAAGTGTATTTTAAGATCACCTCTTATTTTAATACCTAAGTTTGAGTCTACCCTCTAATCTAACCTGCTTCACTAATACAATAGCACAGTCACCCTTGCGCTTGCCTTCTCTATTGTTTCTCTGGTCTCTATTGTCTAGCCCCAGCCCCTTACTTTCAGTGACAGGGTGCATTATGGGACTGGTCAGTTTGAATTTACACTTGTATTTGACTATGTATGGAGACAAGTTCTCAGTTCATCGCTGAAATAATTCAATCAACTGTCACAGGTTAGTTTGTTTGAACTGTATATTTATGTGTTCTTATCTAGTGCTTTGAAGGGTTTGTTAAGGTGCATATGTATGGTTTCTTAACTTCTTTTAATAGTACTTATATTGTTAGGTGTGATAAATATATATATCATATCAGTCATCGTATTCAGATAAAAGTAGTTAGGCTAAATTTGCTTAAATACTTTAAGTATGTAAGTATGTTTATAATAGATAATCTTAACTAGCATTTTCATGTTGATATTACTTAACTTATTGTGTAACTAAGCATAATGAGTACATTTATTGATAGACTGGAGCTATTTCCCTGTAAATAAAAGTTCTGCACCTAACTGCACATGTATGAATGTATGTCTGTATGATGAGGTGAGTGATTAGAATATATATTTTAGGGTTATTGTATATACCTAAGGATGCAAACATATTGATGTAATATGTTACACTGTAATTATGTTATATATATATATTTATGTTCAGGTGTGTCCCTGTAAAGCAAATGATGTCTGATGTTGTGACATCATAGGGCACAGTGCCATACACCTGGTGAGGACATTTATATTTTGTATGTATCTATGGTGATATGTACTGAAATGGTATGTTATTCTCTCTAGTTTGAGGGCTAGGTTATAACAATTGGCGACGAGGATGAGACCAAGTTCCTGTACTACAATGTGTAGTACAAACCAGGATCACAGATCACCAATGCGGATTGTCTGAGCCGACTTCCTGCGAAAGAAAAACCAAGTATTCAAGAAACACCGGAATACATCATGCTTCTGGAACTGATGGATACTACACCTAGCTGTGACATCCAAACATATTCGTTCATGGACGCCCCAGGATCCTGTGTTGTCAAAAGTGTTGAGATATGTGCAGTGATGATGGCCTAATTTCTGTGAAAACCCAGAAATGAAGGCATACTACTGTCGCCGTGATGAGCTGACAGTACAGGATGGCTGTGTGTTGTGGGGTAGCCGTGTGGTGATTCCCCCGCCAGGTCGGGATAGGATTATTCGTGAACTTCTTGAGGAATCAGTAGGATGAAGGCACTTGCTCGTAGCTATGTGTGGTGGCCTAGCATAGATTCATTTCTGGAGTCAACAGTGAAAAAGTGTGAGGTGGTTCAGCAAATGCAGCAGATACCAGCTAAGGCACCCCTACACCTGTGGGAGTGGCCTGAGCGACCATGGTCTCGTGTGCATATTGATTATGCAGGACCATTCCTTGGTCAAATGTTCTTGGTGATTGTGGATGCATATAGTAAATGGATAGATGTTGTTGTTGTGCGCTCAGCTACATCTTCAGCTACAGTGGCAGTTCTTCGTAGAGTGTTCACAACTCATGGATTACCCGAGATGTTAGTGAGTGACAACGGTACCTGTTTCACTAGTGAGGAATTCAAAGCATTCATGGATAAGAATGGTATTCACCATGTGCAGACAGCTCCAACGGTCTCGCTGAAAGGTCAGTGAGTACATTCAAGGAGGGGATGAAGAAGATACAAGGTCCGGATATTCAGACTCGTCTCGACAGATTCTTGTTCCGATATAGAACAACACCCCAGACAACTACTGGACAAACACCAGCCGAACTTCTGATGAACTGGAGACTACGAACACATCTAGACTTGACTCATCCTTCTGTACAGCAGACAGTAAAGAAGAGTCAACGGAGACAGAAGATTCAACAGGACAGAAGGACAGAAGTATGAAGGAACATGACACGGTGTATGTTAAGAACTTTGGAAATGGACTGAAATGGTTACCTTGTACAGTGTCGAACAGGACAGGTCCAGTATCGTTTGAGGTAGAACTGTCTGATGGTAGAAATGTGAGGCGCCATCAGGATCATGTGCGTACTCGAGAAACCCAATTACCCGGAGACAATACTGACTCTCATTCAGATCAACAGGTAGAATCTGCTCTACCAGAGACGTGCGATGTCAAGATACCTGTTATCAATGACTATCCAGAGAAGGATCACGTGTCAGAGACGATACAAGATCCTGCTTCAGAGATTGTACTATCAACATACAATAGCAATGTTAAATCTCCCGTTCTGTCTAGATCTTCTAAGAGGACTCGACGTGAACCAAGATATCTTGAGGACTTTGTTAGGAAGTAACTGGTTAATGAGATTGATGTGAACTCGATGTTATTTTGGGGTATGGTAACAGTAGAAGTTGACATATTTCTCTTATGGCAGATACCTACTAAATCTAGAGATTGATTTTTGTAGATGGCTTTCTTTGTGTACAAATGTTGAGAAGCACCTTGGCACCTTTAATGTAGATATGTTTGGTTTAGTACTGTTTCCATCCAAAGAGGGAGGACTGTTATATCCTGATAAGTATTATATTACCCGATGTACCCTAGAACTATGTACTGTGAGAGTAACGCGTATGAATACCTCACGTGCCTGTGAAGGTAGTCCGCACGTGCCGTCACTCGGCTATGACATGTTGACCGGCCATGTGGCTGGCTGAATAAAAGTCTCTCCCGAACGCCTCTGGTATTCTCACTAGTCTGAGGGCTAGGTTATAACAGTATTAATGCATTTATCATCATTCTCCCATTATTGATAAGCTATGTTTGTCAATTTATTATATGATAAATCCCCTGTAATATTTAGAGTAAAGTAAGATAAAACTAATTACAATGGATCATAACAATGTATATGATCATATATAAGATTCTAATATTTGTTAATAAGTTATAATGTAATGATTTATTTGTATGTATAGGTATTGTGCATATTAAACAACTGTCATCAAGCATTTAGTGATTCATTCACCTAAACCACTCCGGTTACAATATCCACCATGGCACGCCACATACACTCATATTTACCTGTGACACTTCTTCAAATTTGATTTTCTCTCAATCTATCATAACAATGGAATCTTCACATGCCTTGTTTTAGCTAGCTATCAAATTTGAAGAGTCTTAACATATGACGTCTCCAATACCAGAAGTTTATATTGTAAGTTTTTCTCTGGGATAACTGCCAACTCACAAGAAACAATAGCATAAATACAACCTCTTTACTTATGTAACCCGACTCTCACAGACTGGCTTGATGGAGTTGGTTGATAGATGTCAAATTTGACACCCCAAAAGATAGTTCACACAGAACGAAGCAAAGCAATGTAAAATGATGAGAAAACTGACTTTGGGGGCTCAATTATGCAAAGTAATACACATACTCTAAATATTTGAAGTAGCTAAGCAACATTACAAATGGTCTCATAGATGGAGTTGCTGTAACAGAAGAGGTTTTCATCCGTCTGCAATTTCATCCTGGATTAACCACCAAAATGTTTCAGGGAAAGAGACTTGGTAAAAAGAAGGAAAAGAGGTAAGACTCCGGCGCAGAACATCTGCTATCATTCAAGATCAAATCAACAAACTGGAAGGTTCATCAACAGAGGCACTGTAGTTCACTTTGGGAGATTTTATTTCCTTTAACCCACTGGATGCTAAGTTATTTTTCTGACGCACATAAGATCTGAAAAGTGAAGGTTGTGCGAGAATAGCGCTCGAAAGGCACTGCATCTACATTGGACTATAAATTATGCAGTGATGTAGACTATTAAATTTCCTATCTGATGGTGTAAATTTAACTGCAAATATCAAACCAGTTTGAAGAAAAGACACTGCCAAGTGTTGTTCTAGATTTTGTTCTGTGTCGAAAAGCAGCAAATTTCTCTGCATCTTATCTCACACTGACAAAAGTACTGTTTTATTTATTTAGCAGCTTTAATGAGCGAACAAAATACTGCCAAATAACTAAACAACAAAAATGTATATCAAATGGATTTGTATGCTCATGTATAACATTATACATTTGATACAAAAAATAGCTTGTCTTCAATGATGAAAACATTTTTTTTCTATTACATCAAAAAACGAGAGAGAGGTTACACACATACAAAGAAAATGGGTCATAACTCTGCTATGCTTAGCACTAGTTCATTTTAACTCAGGTCATTTGATAAGAACAAAATATTTTTGTGGTGTTTTGTTCACGAGGAACTATTACAACACAAATATCAACATTGAAACTGTATACGTTAGGTATAAAACAAATATAAGAAATGAGGAAATCGTACTTCATAAATAAGGTGGTAATTGCGAAATGGATGGCCTTGTCTAACATAAATTAGGCCTTATATTCCAACATTCTCCTGATTGTGTTGAACCATTAGCACTAGCCGCCTTTTCATCAAATGTAATGAATTACTAATAGATTTGACACCATCTTATTTGACATGAAGGCTGGTTTTACTTCTTTGATGATGTAAGAGAAAGACGACATTGGTATTTTGATTAATATATATTTCACCTAAGTTTCGTTCAGAGCATTGCAAATTTTGATCTATAAAACGGAATTTGATGCATTTTAAACACAACACAAAATGACTGCTTTCACAATGTAAATAATGTCTTCAATAGATAAACAATTAGATAGTGTTACCGCATATCTAAATTGGACATGACACGCACCTGTTTGACATCGATTTTACGTAATCAAATACTGAAAAGAGTACTTCAAAACAAAATATTTCCTATATGGGACATGTATTTGTTCATTACAATGTGAATTTTTCTCTTCATCTCATTTCAGTGAGTGAGTTTGATTTTATGCCGCTTTTAGCAATATTCCAGCAATATCACGGCG